ATTGATGTTCGGTGCCCACCTGGGCAGTCAGATTCAAATGTGGTCTGGGGAATATATACCCGTGTCCAGATAAGTGGAGGGTTGCTTCCTTGGACAATTGAACTCTCCACGAGTCATCTTCAATTTCTACTGTATATATTGAACTTTTAATAAACAAGGAACAGGTCTATCTTCCAGTAAGATATCATTTAGATCCGAAGCCAGAGAATGTACAAAAACAGAAGAATCCTTGCTCTGCTCAACAGTTGGAGCTGATATATAGATACAAGTATAAGATTATGATGAGATTTCAGTCTAGAACGCAGCGGCCATCATTTCTCTACAGTATATAAATTAAGTATCCGACTAGCTCCGAAGTTATTTAGCTCTATCTGATGAGTTCAATAGAGGCGTTTTGTGGCTGTACAAGCCCTGCGCATCAGACAAGATAAACACCATTAGAGTAAGACGTAGTAGTATAGTTAATCCGAGTATTATCCGGGACACTAGGAAATGAAGGGGCCACACCGGTGTTCCATGTTGAGGAGATCAGATTCGGCTTATATTGATCTATTGGTGATCAATTGAGGTCTTGGATGTATGGAGTATATACACATTAAGCATTAGCAATGTTGATGTCCTTGGCATAGCCTCATAGGGAGTACAACATACGGAGTATAGAAAGAAAAGAAGAAAAAGAAAAGGTGGAAAAGAGAAAACCCCTGCCTTACATGAGCGATACACATCAATACGCCTGGACGGCGGTAATAAAACCCAAATACAGCCACTCGTACGTTACCCACCAGGCCACTTTCCGGTTCAGGGGCAGCCCGTCGCTGATTGGCTGACGAGATAGCGGGTTCCTCTATCTTGAGCTGCGCTACTCGCCTGGTCCCCCCAAGGCGTGTCTTACCCTCACCTTGCTTGGTGCAGTCGGCCTCGCATTGGGGAGTATCAACAAATAGATGAAAAAGGCGAATGATGAACAGATCAGAATAAACACAGATCCAACCCGAGACAAAAACAATGGCCAAAAAACAGGGTGTTCTAAATTAAGACTCAGGGGCGAGATGCGGAGATGAAGTACCTGTACAATACAACAAGTCTCCTGTATAATATTGGCCGCTAGTCCGCTATTCTAGAACTCAACTCTTCTCTCCTTCTCCTCTTCTCTTTCTCTCTTTATCCCGACATTCATTCTCTTTTGGCTGCTGGCCGCCGCTCTTTTCGAGGACCCCCCGTCCTACACACTCTTTTTACATTGACTTTATATTGCTCGTGACACTCTTTTTTACCAGCTATTCCGTGATTTTGCAATTGTGTGGCCCCAATTTAAATGACGAGCATTAATCTCGACCGGCTATCGCCATTTTAAACGTGTTGACCGGTCTTCACGTTCCCAAGTCCGGTCTATTCCTATAGACCAGACTACACCAACCATGTCTCATGCCGGCCACGCCCGCCTGGCGATGCAGAATCACGTTCGTCGAGATGTCATCCCTTCACATCGATTGCCATTCCTGGTCCCCACTACCTCCTCTATACCTACCAAGCTTTCATCCATCGTGGCTAGATCCGAATCAGCTGAGCCGACCTCAGGAGTAAAGCCCACCAGCGACCTGACCACGACGGTCTTGCCGGTTGTGCTCGGTGCTGGTATCCCTATTTTGTGTGCTATTATTATCCTCATTGTGCTGCACCGGAGACATGTCAAGAAACTTCTGCGGGAAGATGCAATGGATAAACATAAATCTCTCGATTTTGGAATGGATACAGTGGGGCCTGCCACCAGCAGGAAAGGAATGCCCCAGATGTCAGAACCCACTCATACCAAAGGATTGTCTCTTGATGTCGGTCCATATCTGTTGCCTCCGGGCCTGGAAGGTTCCCCGGATTCGCTACGCTCCTTGTCAATAGACGACGACAAGTACCGTCCGGCTACTGCTTCCATTCGGTCGTACCCCAGAAACTCCCGCTTCGAGGGTTCTGATGACGGCAATTCAGGTCTTCTCCAAAATGCACAGAGGATGTCTCGTTCATCCCCGCCGCTGTATCCCCCCAGTTCCCCGAACCCGCGCAATGACCGCCTGGGGCAAGTCCCCGGAGTGACACGTCCGCCTGCTGCACAGCAACCCGGCATGGCCAAGGGAAGTCCCAATGCCAGCCGGATTCCCACGCCAGATCCCCTCCCCCATCTGGATGCCTCCTCGGGTCTAGACTTCGGACTGGGCGATACATACGGCAAGTCATATAGCACTCCGCATGAAGATCGCCCCGACTTCCCGCTGTCCGAGTCTTCGCAACCACGAGCATTGACCCATGATCAGGGTCTTGCACCACAGCTTCCTCGTATTTCCCTGCCGGCCAGTGATGTTAGTGACTATGGTGATGACAAGTCGCAATACAATGTCCCTGCGGTCAACATTCATGGCGCAGAAGATGTCACGCATAGTGCCCCAAGCCACGATAACCAACATCCAGAACTTCCAGAGGACCCTCCTAATTTGGATACGCCATATGATAAACACCGCGATACCCGCCGGATGACTCTCGGATTGCGCCCGTTGCCCCCAGAGGACCCCTCCGACAACCCAGAACAGCGTGCCAATCGGATTCGTTCGTTCTACAAGGAGTACTTCGATGAGAGCAAGGGTCCGGAGGCCACATACTCTGAGGACTTTGGGCCAGAGTTCTACGAGGATGGTAATCATGGGGCTGGTTTCATATACGACCCAACCACTGGCGACTATTACGATGCCGCTCATGCCGCTCCATTCGCTGAGCCGATCACCCGTCGCGCGATGACACCACCGCCTCGAGCACCTCCCCGCTTCCAAGGAGCCGCCGCTCGGCACCAGGCCACCAACTCTGCGGGCCAAAATGGCATGCCCAGCCCACGCGCCTTCTCGTCTGCCTCTGGCCGTATGCCCCCTCCACGCGGTCCCAAGAAAGCGATCCCTCCTCCCTCACCGCTACACATCCTTCCTACTCCTCACATGTTGACGGACGACTCCCTCTTGACTGCCATGGAATTCGCGCCGGCCAATGGAATCAAAGAACGCCGCGCGGGTCGTCCTGAGACCCCTAGCGGTGGCTTACGCCCGTACCAGCCCGGCGCGCGTGCGCACACCCCACTGGCCTCTGCGTTCGACGAGCTCATCGTGATGCCCAGCCCGCACGCCCTGCGCAAGTCCGGTACGTTCACCAATCTGGACTTTGTGCCCCCGCCTCGCTTCAAGAACGAGAGTGGTACCGGCAGCGATGCCGGTAGTATCCGCAGTGCTCGGTCTGCAGTCTCTGCTACCCTCCAGCAAAATATCCGCGCGGGCACGTACCGTGTCAGTCGTCTGCCTGCGGAAGCAGTCGGCACCAAGGATGACATGATGGCCAGTCTGCGTCCGAAGTGGGACATGAACAACGCATGAGGAAGCGGCCGTACCGCTTTCCACTGTGATGACTTTGTTGTCTTGGTATAAGAGCACGTGATGATTTGATTTGATTTTTTTGTTCATCTGGGTCCCCCGGTGCTTGAGCTTTTGGGGGGTGATGGAGCGCCCCTTTTTATATTCATTACTCTTATTCTCCTTTTTTGTCTGGACATCTACTATCAATGGCGTAAATAGACGATGGTTGGATTCTGATCAATTTGAAATTTCTTTCTTCGGTCTGGGGTGTATATATATGTATAGTTCTAGAACATTAATGTGCTCAGATCTGGAGTATAACATACGACATACAACATAACGAATCTGCTTCGATTCGTCCGAGGGCACTATGTCCACAATTATGTGTCCGGCTACGTACAACGGCAAGTTGCGCGAGTTGGCAGAAATCGGGCCGAGCGCTAATCCACCAAGTCAGGGGCTAGATGAGAGAGATCACAGCATTTTATTTACGGGGCTTTAATAGAATCGTATTTAACGGGCTAGCCACAGAAAACAAGATTATCCACGCCGATCGTCTTTTTTCTTTTTCCCTTCTCGTCCTAGTAGACATAAGATGTGTACAACATAGTTACATGTAACTATAGTATTGTTCAACACAACCGTTGAAGAAGTGGAGATAATCAGAGTCAGTGGCAACTGAGTACATTGTGCATCATGACTCTTTTATAACACCACACACGACATCCTCAGTGGAAGATTCTTCCGTCCCCATAACCTTGGGATTCGGTCCTTGCTTCAGGGCTTATACCTACGGGTACGCTCATCTCGGTTGGAGGTTTCGGTACCGAAGAATCAATACGTCCACGGCTGGTAGTAAATATTGGCAAATAGTTATTATTCTGGGATTTCTGTTATGAATATTAGAGGCATTAAAGGTGTTAGAGGTATAATAGAGTCTCACAGAGTACACACAGTACCACGGAGGATTATTATACAGCATCAGAGACTCCATATGGTCAGGGGCTCACATGGCCGCATCAAGGGATTGCCAGAAACAGCATCATGTTTGGGATGTAACTGCAACTCGAGCGTAGCATAACCAGATTTAACGATCATGCTGTTTCTACTTCGATTCAGCAGAGCACAAGTATCTATTAATACAACTAGGAATGCGGATACGCCGCAATCGTAAGAAATCTAACAAATCTCCACTTCCCACTTCAATCTCACTCTCCCACACCACTTTTCTCCTCCCATGGCTGCTAGATTCGGCCTCGAGAGACTGTGAGTATTCGTTCTTCTCTCTTTTCCATCCTTCATCTTCATTTTCCTTTCTCTTCTTTTTTTCTATTCCCTTCTGTTCGTGAGATATCGCCGGTTTTCCCCTGAAGACTCCGGCCATAGCCTCAAGTCTCTCCTTACGCGTTCAAATCGCAGTCTCTCATTAAACCAGTCTATTAACTCGGATTCAATTCGTGATCCCTCAGTCACATTCAGTCCGAAATTCTTTCCGCACCCGGAAGTGTCCACAATCTCTCAAAACTCGCCGAACGGTCTCCCGGCTCAGGATCGCTTCGATCCACAACGCCAGCTCAATCTCACCGTTGATTATCATTGACCAGTATTGCTATTGAGATGGCGGCTTCACTATCCAAGGGCGCTGCCGCTGCCGCTACAGCCATCGGTTCTACCGCCGCGGACACCGCTGTACAGACTTCGGCGGCTGCTGAGCCAACCAGTGAGACATCTGCCGCTCAACCCACGACCTCTTCAGCCGATCCGACGACTTCGGCTGTCGAAACGACAACCTCGTCCACGGCTGCTCCCACCACTTCAACCGCACCCACTACCACTAGTACTACGAGCAGTACTACGAGTAGTACGACTAGTAGCACGTCCACGCCTGAGCCGACTACGTCGACTCCCGAGCCTACCACGTCGACCCCGGAGCCCACCACGTCGACCACCCAGCCTGTGACTACTTCGTCCACTTCGACTACTTCTTCCACTTCTTCTACTACAACCGCCCCGACCACCTCCATAGCTCCCGAGACGACAACGTTCTCATCTACACAGGGAACTACCGTAGTTATTATCACGTCCACCCAATTAGCGCCCACCGCCGATACCACGTCTATCACCTCTTCCAGCGCAACCGACTCGGCCGCGCTCTCTACCTCCACCACAGCAGCAGGCTCCGGTGGTCTTTCTCCCAGCGGCACAATCGCTGTCGCAGTCGTGGTCCCGGTTGTCTCGGTGGCATTGATCATCCTGGCCCTGCTCTTCTTCTGGCGTAAGCGTAAGGCGAACAAGGCGGCCGAAGAGGAGCGCCGCAAGGAAGTAGAGGAGTACGGATTCAACCCCAACAACCCAAACAACGACCCAACCCTCCCTGGTATGGCAGGCACTGTGGTGCCCAAGGACAACGAATCCTCCGGCTACCGCGGCTGGGGAACTACTTCTGCCGGGCGCAAGGCGTCCACCAACCTCTCCAGCGGAATGGGTGGCCTGGCCATGTCGGAAGGCAGCAGCCCGGGTTATCACCACGGCGCAACACCTAGCGATGGCACTGTGCAATATTCCGATGGAACCCGGCCCGACTCCGGAGAGATCGTCGAACCTCTCGGTGTGCTAGGCGCCGCCCCAGTGGCTGCCAACAACCGGAATAACGGCGATATCCACCGCGGCCCCTCCAACGCATCTTCCGCGTACTCCGCAGCCAACCGATCCGACGCATCGGAAGAAAGTCACATGTCCGCTGTCCACCCCTCAGCTGGCTACTACGGTGAGAACCCGTACTACGGCGACATCAACACGCACGGTGCATACGGCGGGGACGACTACCAGCCTGTGATCCGTGACGTCCAAGCACGTCGCAATACCCGCATTGAAAACCCGGGCGTCTATCCACGACAGGGCAATGCCGGTATCGCGCAGAACTTCTGATGGCTCGACTGATTCGGATTTCCTATACTCTTTGATCTCCAAAAAAGCTCGGCATTCCACTTGGCATTCCATTTTTTGTGTGCTTGTTTTGAAATTTTTTTTTTTTAACCTTGCACAATACCACACGCTCTTTCTCTCTCACCCACCGCCGACTTCATTCGTTTTATCGGGTCTCTCATGTTCCAATTCCCGGCGCGATGGACCTTCACTTCATGTCACTATTGTCCCTCTACACTTTTATTTTCTTTTTCCCTCTTTCTGCCCCCCTTAATCGGCCTGTCGGGCTTTGATTTGGTTTGGTCATTTGTTTGATATATCCCGCGCATCTGGTCTCAGCTGCATAGCTTGTTTTTCGTCTTTTTCTGTTAACACCTGGTTTTATGTCTGTGTTGATTTGTTTTTTTATTGTGGAGCTGCATCTTGTACATTTCCTGCTGCGTGTGGAGTTTTCCATGCACCTGGACATACTCGAGATTTGCAATGATACCTTGGGTATCCTGGATTTAGTCCCAGTTCCCTTGTCTGAAATGAACGGTTTACAATGAGTTCTGGTATAGTTACTCGGAGAGTGCCGGCAGAATCGTAAAAGAACAGCGAATAATCAGCTAACTTTTACTAAATACACCCTAAACAGTCCAACCGAGTCAAATCGAGTCTAATTATGGCTAATTAGAGTAGTTATTACCTAAAATTATGCATATAATAAACGTACTCGGTTCCTTTCCGTTGCAGTGGTCACCAGTAGGTTCACAACGTGCCTCCGCTGTTCGCGGTGATTGGCGCTGGATGATTCACACAGCTCTCCACTCCCCGGCTTAATTGCACCTCACAGCTTTTCCCTTCTCTCGCGAGACTCGAACTATAGAGAATCTCCTAACACGTTCTCCTCCCTGGGCCCTGTACTTGTCCGTCGGTCTGCCCCCGCTATCTCTCTATCGCCCTCTATCTCTATCACCGCTTCTACCTTAGACCTCTGCGCTCCCTCCATCCTTAGCATCTAATACCCGTTCCTTGATCATATATGGGCGAAAACGAAAACCCATCGCAACGCAACGTCACACATTTTATCGACTTGTGTCACTCTCTTACCTGTCCCACTATTATTTCCTCCCCCACTGTGATAACCCATTAACTGCCCTGCCCCTCTTGCCTCCGAAGCCGAACAGCTTTGGTTCGTGTCCTTGTCATCCCACCCTTTCTTACTTTTTTTTCCCTCCCCCAATCCCATTCCCAATCCCAATTGTTTCCTTTCCTTTGCATTCTACTCTACCTCGCACAGTCAACCAGCTCCGATTCTTACAGCTCTCGGCTCCGTTTCGCTGAGCTTGCGCTACGGTTGCGATCTCGGTCTCCAGAGCTCGGGAGAGCTAAAGCTCTCTCCGAGAGTGTGCACACAACATGTACGTATGCCTAGCAGTTCCTGTCACCGGTTGAGACATTCCTCGAGCTACTGCTGATACGTCTTGATTGCATAGGAAGTTCGGCAAACAGATCCAGCGCAGGCAGCTAGATCTTCCTGAATATGCCGCCAGCTTTGTTAACTACAAGGCGCTGAAGAAGGTTGGTTGAACGTCCTGTCGGTTGCGAGGGGATATGAATATGATCATGGCTAATTCCTGTACAGCTGATCAAGCAACTCAGTGCTACCCCGACTATCCCGGCACAGAGAACAGCTGAGGAAATTGCTAGAGCTAATGCCGACCCCCAAGGCGCGTTGCGCGCGAATAAGGAGGTTTTCTTCTTCCGTTTGGTAGGTTTAAAATACTTCCCTCTATGGGATGGTATGTACTTACTATGATATGATGTAGGAACGAGAGATTGAGAAGGTCAACACTTTCTACCTCCAGAAAGAATCAGAGGTATGGCCATTTATTATTTATCCAGTGCACAGTCACAATCATCACCCCAACCCGGAGGCTCATCCGATCCCTTTTAGTTTTCTCTGCGCCTACGGACGTTGGTCGACAAGAAGCGGGTCACTCAATCCCGGGCGATCTCGAATTCTAAAGCTCCGTCGAATTTCGCGGCTATGTTTGAAGGCTTCCAGCAATTCGATGGCGACCTGAATAAATTGCAGCAGTTCGTTGAGATCAACGAGACGGCCATGTCTAAAATCCTCAAGAAGTGGGACAAAACCTCCAAGTCTCGTATGAAGGAGCTGTATCTGCATCGGGCTGTTGAAGTGCAACCATGCTTCAATCGTGAAGTTCTTCGAGACCTCGCTGACAGAGCTACTACCGCGCGACTGGAATTGGAGGCTTGGGCCGAGGGTGAGAACATTCAATATGACGCATCACGTCCATTGGACCGCGCCGCACCCTTGGGGTCGGAAGAGGATGAAATGGACAACCAGGTCTTGCAGTCTGCCTCCGCCGGGAATCTGCAAAACCTACGTGAATGGCTGGCCAGGTTGCAGCAGTTGCCGGACGCCCGTGAGCGCGCCACCCGTACATTCCTGACCGCCATCAACGGGTTCTCGGATGATGTGCTCGCTCTGCTACTGGAGAGTCAACTGGTTGACATACACGCCGAGGACGACATCAACGAACGAAACTGCCTTCACGAAGCCGCCATCTCGGGCCGATTATTTGTCTTCCACGCCGGTCTCCGGGCAGGCGTTGATTTCGCTCGCGCCGATGTCTATGGTCGAATCCCTCTCCACTACGCATGCATGCACGGCCGCGTGGATATGGTGCGACATCTTCTCGCAGCCGGTCCCCAAACCGTCGACATCATGGACCATGACAACTTCACCCCTCTAATCCACAGCATTGTAAAGGGCCAGCTGGAATGCGCCGAGCAGGTTCTGCTTAGCAATGCCCGCGTCGACCCGGAGCCCGAGTCGCCTCTCCTGACCGGAATGGATAATCGTCCTTTGAAGGGTCCGGATCATATTCCTTTGAATCTCGCCTGCCAACACGGCTCTCTGCCTATCGCGAAGATGCTTCTTGAGCGAAATGCGCAGTTGCTGCCGGATGCAGAGGGTCTCTACCCGCAGCATATGGTTGCACGTGCCTCACAATCGCCAGACCTACTACTACTGCTAAAGGAGCACGGTGCTGATCTCGACCAGAAAGACAAGCTTTATCAGTGGACTCCGCTGTTCCACGCAGCTAGCGAAGGCTGCGTCCCCTGCCTACGCACCCTCCTCGAGTGCGGGGTTGATGCCCAGGTTGTAGATGAAAAGGGCCTCTCGTCTATGTACTATGCTGCCTGGGAAGGACATCTAGAGTGCATGCTCCTTCTCTGGGCCCAGCCCTCCAAGAAAAAACCCGCGCTGGGACCTCTTGATATTCTCAATGGCGTGCGGATGCATGAACCCGGTCTGGGCGACCCGCTGTCTGTGACTGCGAGCGTCTCTGAATTGGACATGACAGATGGTATCCCGGACCTTGAATTGCCTCCCCCATTATCCCTCTCCGCCGCTATGGTCACAACTTCCTCGACAAGAAAGTATTTGTGCAACTTTTGTTCGATCAAGGAAACGTCGGGTCTGTCATCTTTGATCAGGCGGGCCGTCATCCTGCCGCTCGTATGACCATCTCTTCCAAGCTGTCAGATCTCATCCCTCGTACCATCATGCTACCCATCCAGGAAGAGACACGCACAATATCGTTCCACGTGGATAACCTAGACACCTTTGCCGTGGACTTCGAGATCTTCCCTACCTTCGGTTCAAAGGTGATTGCAAAGAGTGTCGCCCTGCCAGACATCTTCCGCGCCGAGTCGTCCAGCACTGGCTCATGCTGTCTGCCTCTATTCGACCCCCGGCTGCGTACAATCGGCCAGCTGCGCTTCAAGTTCCAAGTGATCAAGCCATACCCCGGCGATCCCCTGGAGATCACCCACTTTGCTACATACTGGAAGGCCACCAGTGCTCTTGACTCAGACCACAACGGACTGGTGACTGGTTCTAGTTTGTCGGGAGATTACGTCCAGCTCTTCGTACAACTGACCCGGGACCACGTGGCAGTCCTTTACCCGCAATTTACAATCAACCACCATGGAATCGACATTCCAATCTCTCATTTGACGTTTGCCCAGTTCCAGACCATTGGCGGAGAGCGCGGTTTCAACCCTAGCGAGATCCTCGAGTTCTTGAAAGAATCAGCGACGGTTGACATAGCGCAGACCCATCGACTCTTGGCGACGTCGTTCTTATCGTTACGCGATGTCTTGCGCTACATCCCTATTGACTTGAATGTTAACATCTCCCTCATTTACCCATCCGCCGCGGAGGAGAAGAAGCTCGACCTGACTTCTTTGGCGGACGTCAACAGCTTTGCCGATGCTATCCTGACTGATGTCTTCGACCACGCCCGTGTGGCCCGTGAAAAGAATCCTGAGTTCATGCGTTCCGTGGTATTCACCTCATACAACCCGAACATTTGCAGTGCTCTTAACTGGAAACAACCCAACTGTGAGTCTCCTAATACAGTCCAATTTGTGTGATACTAACTCTGTGACTAGATCCCGTCCTTCTCTGCAACGATCTCGGTCAAATCCGGGACCTGGCTGGGAACGTCAACTCGATGCCCCTTGTCAACAGCAGTGGACGAGCCTCGATGTCGATTAAGGAGTCTGCTCGTATTGCCCAGAGCAACAACTTCATGGGCCTGATCTGCAGATCAAGCCTTTTGGTATGTTTGTCCTATTTCCGCCTCTCTCTTCTCTACTGACCGACCAATTAGAATGTCGTCCCCGCGCTCGTCGAGACCATCAAGGAGCTCGGCCTTGTGCTTGTGGCTGATACCTCTGACGAGGTCACTTCGAATCGATTCGAGGAACTACCCGCTCCCGATACTATGGGCGTTGCCGAATGGGCATACCGTATGCCCGACGGTGTCAACGGTGTGATGAGAGGCAACGGCATTTTGAGATTTAACGATATGATCGATATGTGATCCGATTTCCCTCTACGTACCTTTTACATACGATACGTCGAAATTTAATTTCTCAACGAAGATTACGAGCTTTAGTAGCCGCCAGAATTGCTTTTTTTTTTTCTATCTTGCTCTTGGCTAGTTATTCCACAGCAGAGAAGGTCCCGCGCGTGCGACGTTCTCTTTATTGCGTTCTAGGCTTGTTCATTTCCTAATCATCTTGGGCGCTGGATATAGAGCTGGCTTTTTTTTATCTGGGTTTGGCTTTGTCGATTACATGTAGTTAGATCGTCTAGAAAGCAAGAGTAAGAGCATTTGAGAGTTTTGAAGGCAAAGAAAGACTGCCGTATTAGAGAGCTGAATGGCTAATAATGTACAATGACCGAATCCCAGGCCCTATTATCTCCCGCTATGCTACTTACTTACTGTATAATCAATCACATCCCCTTCACTTCACTTCACGTACTCTTAGGCTTTCTCTTCCCAATATCCCACCCCCATCTCCGCAGCGTCTTGACAACCTTCGGCGTGACAGCCGCCGTCAAAGGCACGCGAATGAAGATAAAGCTCTTGTGAATCGCATAAGCGAAAACCAACTGCGTCCAGATACCTGCGTGAACACAAACCAATCAGTCAGAACATCAACCCAAACCTCAAAGCTCTCAACCAAAACAGAAGAACAAAACTTACTAGCTTCCTCCTGATTCCGCTCCTCAGCCTGAGCAAGCTGTCCCTGCCCATCATCCTCCTCCGAACCCTTCGTCTTCGGAAACACACTCTTAACCTTATCCTTCACATACCCAACAACAACATGCTCATAGTACCCAATACGATCAACACCAAGCAACCGCACAGCCGCGAAACAAAATGGGAAATCCAGCGCCGACAGGCCAAGATACACGCCCAGCGCAGCCCATCCGTACTCGCGCGAGAGAGACTTCAGACGCTGGGATAGGGACGGTTTGGGTTTAGTTTTGCCGCCGCCTCTGGACCCAGTTCCATTTCCAGGTCCAGAGTCAGATCCAGGTCCAGATCCAGAGCTAGAGTTCTTGGCATCACCAGCAGACCCGGAGTTGAATCGGCGCTGCTTGGGCTTGGGCTGGAATGAGCTCGGTGTCGGGCGGGTGCGCGTCGAGAAGCGCGCTGTTACTTGTGCTCCGTGCGCGTGCGGGAATATCGTGCTCCGGCGTGCGAGGGATGGACGAATTGAGGGGTTGGGGTGGAGGTGGAGGTGTGAAGCTAAGCTTGGGGATGATTTGAGCATCTCGCTAGGGCGCGAGATCCATTTTGCGAGGAGGGTTGGGCGGAGGGTTGGGCGGAGGGACATGGTCGGATGGGTTTTGGTGGCCCCGTTGGTTTTGGTGAGGGTGTTTGTGTGATTCCGGGAGTGAATTGGGGTTGAGAATGGAGCGGTCATGGAATGCTGGATGGGAGGGTTTTTTTGTGTTTCTCGGCGTTTTCGGCTTCCGGTCCGATCGGGCTTGCGGCTCTGTATGCCGGAGTTAGGGATTAAGGCGGGTTGGTGGTTGTAGATAGGATGGGATATTGTAGATGGGTGTTAGGATTTCTATCGACTTTTTTCTATTTGTTAAAAGACCTTGATCTTAGCTAACTATGTCCTAACGCGTGGCGAGATTGCCAGCTTGGATTTGTATACTTCGGGGCGGCGTGCATATCGCTGACTAAGCCCAACACCAAAAACTTCCCGAGTTTCTCAGCCACGACGAGCACCTCAATACTCAAACCCCTCCCAATATCAAACCCACCATGTCGCCGCGCTTAGGAGGGCTACTTCAGCTCTCGCCCGTATGGACGGGCTCATTGATCACGCCCCGGATCCCCATGCGGTCATTCGGAATCCGATCTCTCAACCCGCCCAAGCCCAGTCGGTTCAACATCGGGCCCGGACTACCAGTCCTCGAGTCGACGTCGACAGCGGCTCTCCTCCGCAAAGCCTATTCCCTGCCCCTCCGCACCGGCGCTATCGGTATCAAGAAGGGCATGACGGCCATCTACGATCCGGAGTCTGGAAAGCGCATCCCCTGCACTGTCCTGCAGCTGGATCGTGTGGAGGTGCTGTCCCACAAGACCCGCGAGCGACACGGGTACTATGCGGTGCAGGTCGGTGCCGGCTGGAAGCACCCGAATAACGTGACCAAGGCTATGCTGGGTCATTTCTCGGTTAATGGGCTCTCGCCGAAGCGCCATATCTTTGAGTTCCGCGTCAAGGACGAGGCAGGCCTTCTCCCTGTTGGGCAGAGTATTGAGGCTGGTTGGTTCCAGGAGGGCCAGTTTGTGGATGCTCGTTCTAATACCAAGGGTAAGGGCTTTGCAGGTGTCATGAAGAGACATGGGTTCCATGGTCAGGATCGCAGTCACGGTGTTAGTTTGACGCATCGTTCGATGGGTTCTTCGGGTCCTGGTCAGGGTGGTGGTTCCCGTGTTTACCCCGGGAAGAAGATGGCTGGAAACATGGGAAATAATCAGAATACTGTGCAGAACTTGAAGATTCTCAAGGTGGATTCTGAGAATGGTATCGTGGTTGTCAGCGGTATGTCATTGGAGATGCTCTTTCGAAGTCAATATTGCTAACTTATTTCCTTCAGGCGCCGTCAGTGGTCCTAAGGGCTGTGTTGTGAGAATCCAGGATGCCGTCAAGAAGCCATGGCCAGAAGTGCCACAGGCAAAGTCGGCTGAACCTGCCACGGAACCTGCTACTGCTTAATTGGAGATTTTTCTTAGTTCTGACCATGTACTATTACACCATACGCGCGATATTGTTTGACTTGAGCGGCGTTTGTATATGATACAAAAATGATATCCTTCCTTTTTTCTCTTAGCCATTGAGAAAAAACCAATGGCTTCGCCAAGTTGATAACGCAACAAATGGTCCCATAAAGAATGACCCTAAACGCCCGAGCCAATGCACTGCTCTATCTGTACACTCTCTCCCCGATATTCACCCGATATTCAGTTCTTCCGGAAGGGATCGCTATCACTGTCAAGCAATTGAACCACCTCTCCATCCTCAGTCTCCAGACTCCATTCCTCGGTACGGAACTAGAAGAGAAAACAAAACAAATCAGCACTTATCACAACCATAAAAAAATAAACCAAAAACTCACATAGCTCATACGATCCGGCCGAATGCTTCGGAACCTCATCTTGCCCTGGGACTTAGTCCCCTTAACCCAAAACGAGATATTAATGCGCCCATGCAATTGATTCATCTCGCCACTAATCCACGGAATCTGCTGCGCAAAGTAGATCTCATCGCCGAGGATCTCACGAGCCCGCGGCGACGTCCGCAGCGCATACAGCGTGCTGTTCACGATGCTCGACGACGACTTCTGGTAATTGAAGATACCCAGCATGCCCGCTCCAGTCGTGAGAATGAAGATCGGGAGTGTGTACAGCCACTTCCGGCCAGGCTTGGGGTTCGGTAGCTCGCGGTCTGCACGGCGTTCTAGCAGTGGGCCGGCGTTCGGGCCTGGCGCGGCGATCATTGTGCGGCGGCTGGCTGGCTTGGGGCGGGCGGGTTGGCGGGCGAGCGCGGCGCGCCGCGTGAATGCTCGGGAGAAGAACATTGTGGTGTTTTGGGGGTTTTGTTTGGTTTTGGTTTGTCTTGTCGGGCTGGTTGGGGTTGGGGGGTGGAGAGGTTGCGGAAGAAAATAGTGTTCAAACAAGACAAACAGATCGGACGGTTTCGACGTCACTGCACCGCCAACGGATGAGATTACAACGCTGCTTTGAGATTTAGGGAAATGGCTGCGGTGAGATTGCGCAAGGCGTTTCGGTACCCCGAGGAATCAGAGGGCGAGCGAGAGGAGTTGGATGAAGAGGAACAGGAACGCGTCATCGAGCAGCTGCAGAGCCAGAACGATGCTCGGAATGCCCAGTACAGTGTACATATCTTTCTTTCTTCTATATTCGAGAATCCACGCTGAATATGTTTCCAGGTGATCTTCACTGCACTTCCACTGCTGGCTGCGACAGTGTTTGTGCCTTCGGTGCTGTCAGCTTCCAGTCAGGCTGAACGATTGTTCTCGCTCTTCGGTCTAGTCTCGTTGTTGACAACGGCGTATATCATGAAACGCTCTCCTCTCCAGCCTGATCGCAAAGGCAAGAAACCTATGACATTCCACACTGAACGCATTGCTCGGATCCATGCGACTCTTGTACCTGGCAATAGTGCGGTTTGCTTGTTGCTGGCCCTGGTCTCTCTTTCTACAGGGTCGTCTTATGCGATCCGACCAGTACTGTACTTGATTCCTGGAAGTAAGTCTTCTCTTTCTTGGCTGGGATATCGACTCTGACCTTGTACAGCCATGCTCGTAGTGATTCTACTCGCTCAAAAGGTCATGCTCTCTGTTGACCTTGCATCCCTCAAGGATCTACAGTACGAGTATAAAGGTGCCTAGCCAGGAATTCAATCCAACTTGAATACATATATGTTCACTATTAGTATAGCCAGATTGTTGTTAAACCATGTTGTCGCAGAAGAGATAAACCCTTCGGGGAATCACAAATAATACATCCGATTTCCTTAATCAAACACCATTTTGCAAATATTCAGTGTTCATATCCCACTTTTAATCCTTCTGTATCATCTTGCGCATGTAATCTCTGTTGTATGCTCAAATCCGGCAAATACAGCAACGTTCATGGCCGTTTCAAGTGCTTGCGGTCTCAACAGAGTCCTGGATTACCAACGATGGGTCAACGGGGATTCCCCCGTAGTCCTCATAAAGGACCAGTAGATTCTCATCGTTCCCGTTCTCATCGTTCCCGTTCTCATCGTTTCCGTTCCCATTCGGTACCGGCTGGTCGAATGGGCTGGACTCGAAGCTGAAGCCCTGGTCCTCGAGGGTCTTATGTCGTTCCAGTTCGGCTTCCTCGGCTTCCTTCTGGCGTTTTTGGATGCGTCCATGGACATCATCACCAAATTTCTTCAACCACCAAAGATTCGATTTCCGGAAATCCACCAAGGTCTCGATGCTGCGGGGATCGGCAACCTTACT